CATTTAGCGTGCATTAAGCTCAACCATTCTGTTACCTAGCTACTATGTCTAAGATGGATTACATCAAAAAGTACTAAAGGGATGTCCTTGGACTAATTTTCAGCTGTAATCCTCCTGAATAGAGCCCTCATTCATTTGCCTTTGCATCTACCTAATGCGAATGAGAGTTCCACTACTGTGAAGTGATTTCTGCCGTGTTTCCTCCAATCATTAGCTTAATCTGCCCTCAACCTCCAAGTTATTCTGCAGTAATTTGTCATGGGGAAGTTTAGAGCATTAAGCTTCGGGATGTGGATTACTTGCGTAATATATGTGTCAGGATATGCTTAGTGCTTCATTTTGCAGTCAGCTATACCATGTTATTTATTGATACAGAAGCTGGAAATCAGATAACACAATACCCAGATAGGTATTATGTTTCTCAAGTTAGAGCAAGTTATTTTCCTTTTTAGTTCAATTTGTTTTTAAGAATTGGATACAAAGTGAAGTCAGGCTGATTCTAAATATCCCATAGGCAGTGATCAAGGACCTCACTTTAAGTGGGAGAATTGCTTGTCTTAGATCCTGCCTTGAAATGGACATACAGTATATTTTTTTTCCTCTTATCTTACATTTCTCAGAGAAATGATAATACTCCTGTTTTTGATAATGCAGTAGTTATTAGTAGAGAGAAATGAGGGAATAATACAAAAAAACAATTTCTACTGAAAGACGAGACATTAGCAAATTTAGTGGTATTGTCAAGAAGTGATGAGGTTGTGGTAATTTTACCACGATTTTTCTTGGTGTTGTTTTTGTTTCAAGGAGACGGGATATTGATTTTTAATTCCTATGCAAAAAGGTGGTATATATGTCATTAATCTTGGACAGTGCAGTGAACTCATGGTGGTTCCTGACAGCAAAAACTGAAGTATTGAACCATAATCAACTTCAGGTTCATTGTTAGTTACAGAAGGTGGCAAATCTAACACACACACACACCACCTTATGCTATGCTAAAATACTCAAAACATGTAGGAAAACCCCATTACTTACATAAAACCTTATCTGTGATCTTTTAAGTTTCATCGTGGAGGATCTACATCAAAGTTAATGTTTAAAATAATAAAAATAATTTAAACAACAACAACAACAAAAAAGTTGTGGGTTGGAACTAGATGATCTTTAAGGTCCCTTCCAACCCTAGCCATTCTATGATTCTATGAAACAGAAATGAACAAAGCAACCCAGGCATGTGTTTGCAACTAAGTAGTTGTTCTGCAGTAAAGAATCCATTGTAGACATTTGGACTCTGGATCCCTGGATTTTTTATTTTTATTTTTTTAACATCTGATACCTTTTAAAGACAGGAGGGGCTGGCTACAGCACTAAAAGATTGCCTGCTGCCCTCAGACATGGTTAATTGCTAAGCTGAGGTTCATACTGGCTCATGTTTTTTTAGTCTAGATAAGATTAGAAAAGAGCTGTTTACAGCATGTTTTCACCCATCTTTACTTGTATTAATACAAACAACTTTAATATTTCAGAACAGAGTAGTTCATAATAGCCTTGAAAACTTTTGTCACAGACTGTGCTCATTGCAGGCCTGTGGTACCATGCTTTCCCACGGCTTATCAGCCAGGCAGTTTACCACATCTGACACTCACAATCTATTTGAAATATGAGAGCACAATTTAGATACAAAAAGTGTTTAATGCTTACTACTTGACCATTCTTGGGAATAATTTTACACATTGTTTAGTGTACATTGCTTGATTCCATTGAAATGAAGTTAATGGAGGCACACAGATTTATATCAGCTAAATCGCTAAATGAACAAGGGAAGTTCATTTTAAGAACAGATGTTAGCTGTAAGCTTTGTATGTTTAGAAATAAGTGTATTTAAATCATCATGTTTAGTTTTCCCTGTTACTTGCGTATATCTCCTCTGTTAAATTTTATTTACTTACTATACACAATTGCTATTTGATGGAAGTAATTACAAAATTACTTCGTCTAAACCTGAGGGGGTTCACTATAACAATGTTTAGGCTTAGGAAGCTCAACATAAGGTGTTTTTTGTTTGTTTGTTTGTTTCTCCACTGAAAGATTTGATTTTTCTTTTTGCTGAAGAAGTCAACTTAAATGTAGTCATAACTGATCAGCTTATCCTTTCCTGTGTAGAGCATTTTCTATTTTATCAGAAATGTTGCCACAGACATTAATGTAAAATCTTATGCTATAGAATTTGATGCTGGGTTGTGCTCAAAACAAAATACAAAGTTAGCAAATATCAAGCCAAATATCTTAACAAGGAAATTCACAATAAATCAGTTCTATTGTCAAATCCCGTTTCAGGTGAAGTTGATAAAGACCATTAAATGGATTTTAACACATTCTAATTAGCAGTTTATATGTTTTTATAAGTACACTGAAATTGAATTAAATGTTTTAAGTCAAATTATTTCGTTATTCTTTCCTTCTATATAGCTTAGCCTCAAGCACTTGCTAATTATTCTATACTAAGGTCTTTAAAGTCATATTTCCTGTTCCTATTTGAACTCTGATCTATGAATGTGCAAAGGTTTGGTGAAAAGCAAAATTAAAAGTACTTTGCAAATTTGGGTTCATGATATAGCTGGTCAGAGATAAAAATGTTACGTATATCCAGCATAGAATAGAGTTTCATTTTTACATATATGTCTAATTACATTTTAAGAGTTTTTCCAATGATACCAAAGATGAATAAGCAGAAATCATAGAGTCATAGAATCATTTGAGATTGACAAATGACCTGTTAACTGAGATTTTCAATTTTTGTGCCTCCATGACACAGTATAAATATACCCAGTGACTGGGAAGACTTGCTTTCCCAGTTCAGTTATGGTTTCTTCTAGTCCAACTTGAAGTATGGAAATAATGAATTCCTAGGTAAAGCATGTAAGTGTTTTGGCCTACAGGTCTGTAATTTTTTCCCACAACAATTAACCCAAAGCATAAATATAAAATTTTACTATACCTGGCTGGAAGCCTTTGTTGATGAGTTCAGAGTTTGAACCAGAAGGAAAATGACAGATAAATTTTCCCAACAGCGGCCACCAAGAATGTAATGTGGTTATGGAGAAGATGAAAAGTAAATTTTGAGAACTTTTTTCCCAATGCTTTGGCTGATGTTACCACAGCTTTAGCTGTCTTAATATTGTTCACAACCTGGTTCACAATAAAATCATCTAGCCTAGTAAAAATCCTGGTACAAAAAGAGGCCACATTTTGCTGTGTTCAGTAATACTGAATAAGTTCCTGTATTTAATTTAAAATCCTTGAGATAATGATTTCATTTAAGAAAAGAAAAAATGAATGTATAGCTTCACCGAGCAGAAGATGAGATTGAAACTGAGAGGTTTCTTGTGCAATGTGCGCTAGGTGACCCTGCTTGTCAGGGGAATTGGCCTAGATGATCTTGAGAGGTACCTTCCAACCTCAACCACTCTGATTCTGTGAAGATGAACACTTAAACTGTTGGAAACTCAGCTAATCAAAAAGCCTGTGGAGGTTTATCTTACATACAGTTATGAATCTGCCAAGGTCATTTGAGTTCTTCCAATGGAATTAGGTGTATTGAAACAAAAGTTAAGGGTCATTTTCGTCACTTGTAGACCATGTGTTTTAACCATAGTTGCCCTGCCCTAGCCTGGTATTTATAATTTCTGGTTCATTTATGTTTTTTGAATGTAAGTAGGTGCTCCCGTTGAGCACCTACTCAAGTTGAATGAGGAGTTGTTTGGTTGGTTGGTTGGTTTTGGGGGGTTGTTTAAGATCTTGTTAATTCGATGTTTTTTATCTGCTTGTTTTTATTATCTGCTTGTTCACTACTGGTTATAGAAATCCAGGAAGAAATTGTATTTATAGAATCACAGAATAGCTGCATGTCCTCAGGGGTACAACATAGTTTCCACTGGTAACTGTATGACACTATCTATCTCAACACTTTAAAGTTAGTTTCTGTAGTAGAAAAAGTTTTGCAAAGTGTGTGAAGAGAACAACCATGAAAGTAACTGATAATTATTAAGCTTATCAAGTGTTTTTTTTGTTGTTTTTTTTTTTTTTTTTTTTGGTGGGGGGGGGGGGGTGTTTGTTTGCTTGTTTGTTTGTTTCACTGTGCATTCCTTCACATTTCCTTCTTTGTCGGACTATCACCTGGAAGTACTCTTTGTACTGAAAAACTGAAGTCTTTATTAGCCAACATATGCTTGATTTAAGAGAAATATTTGTTCTGTGCTGCCTCCACCTTTGTTATGAATTTTCTTGGTAAAAATTTACTGTTTTGCTAAAATGACTGTAATTATTTCATACAAGCAGGTAGTTCCTAGAAAACATGTTATGGCATCATTTTACTTATTTTATGTTAAATACTGTTGTTCTTTTTTTAATGACATGAAGTATGTTGATTTGAACTGTAGACATGAAAATAATTTTCATCATCTCTACTTCTATCCTTGCTTGTGTTTGTGAAATTAAGAAACAGCATTGTGAGTTATTGTATTGTTGTTGCTTTAAAGACAGCTTCAGTCCCATAGTCACCATTTAGGAATTTGTTAACATTCAACTGCTTTGGAAAAGAAAAGATTCTTTCAGTTTTCTGGAAGAGTATAAACTATGGGATATTACTTTCTCACAAAAATGCTGTGAATCTTTTTTCAGATAAATAGATTCTGTTTCAGTGCAATAAATATTCTGCATACCTATTTCTCTTAACAAAACCCATAATATTTCAAGCCCTGCTTTAGTATTTAAAGATTTAATTTTTCTAATATAATTAACGAGGTTTGAAGCTTAGTATTGTCCATACTTTGGAGAGAATAAAATGGTCTCAGAGACATGGTAAGTAGCTTACTCCTGTATTAAATTCAGCATGAGTTGCTTAACTTCAGAGATGTTAAGTCATACACAACTCACAGTATGGTAATGTAGAAAAATAAATAGTTGAAACTTAATTAATTGGCATCTTTCTTTATTGACAGGCTAGTGAAGGATGCCCCATGGGATGAGGTCCCTCTTGCTCATTCCTTAGTTGGCTTTGCCACTGCTTATGACTTCTTGTACAGCTATCTTAGCAAGACTCAACAGGAGAGATTTCTTGAGGTAATTGCCAATGCCTCAGGATATATGTACGAAACATCATACAGACGTGGATGGGGTTTCCAGTACCTCCATAACCACCAGCCTACCAACTGTGTGGCCCTGCTGGCTGGAAGCCTGGTTCTGATGAATCAAGGTATGTGCTAAATCAGGAATGCTTTTCTGCAGTGCATCAACTCAATCGCTCCTTTGTGAAACAATGTACAGAAACTGATAAACATATTTTTTTCTGCTCTTTCTGCATTAAGTGTCTATGGCAGCCAACTGAGAAGGTGCACTGCTTTGTGTGGTCTGAGAGCTCGGCTGTATTGAGTTTGCTCATGTGCTGCTTAGAAAAATGTAATTTACTGAATAGAACAAAAATCTGTGGGCAGGTGTACAAGGTATAGCTGTGCATATAAATGTAGCTATCCAACTGTTTTTGGATTTCTTACTTCACTGTTGGTGCAAATTAACACTTTGCTCATGTGTTGGATTGCCAGTCCAGTTTTTCAGGGCAGATTATCAGTTCAGAATTTGTTCTAACACCTTTGGGCAGTGTACCATTGCTCCCTTGGAGTGATGAACTTGGTCTCCTTGCACAATGCATCAAGAAGGTCAGTACTCAGAAACACCCTACGCTCTGAGCTGAGAGCCAGGCAATACGATCAGCTGAAATTTTGATCAGGACTTTTGTCCTGTCTCCCCTGAGATGGTTGCAAAGCTGTACCTTTATCCACTCACAGACCACAGCTCTGGACCTTTCTTTTCAGCATACTTTGCTAAGGAGAGTTACGGGTTTTTACCTTTTTACCCTTTAAATGTGATGCCCCCATGCTTTTGCCTGCATGGGGAATATCCCTCTCCTCCTGTTTAAGTGATGCAGACTGTAAAGGACAGTGCAAGTCATGGAGTAAGAGGGAAAGAGCTGGTGAGAAATCCTGGCTTTAAAACCCAACGGTACCTTGGCTGAGAAGTGAAAATCATAGAGCCAGCTCCTGCTTATAAGAATGTGTCAATATTTTATCAAGTTTTATTTGGTATGTGCTAGATGTATTTTGAAGACATGACACCTGATGGAACTACTTGATGCAAATCAAGGAAAAACTAATTTCTGGATGCTGATGATATTGCCAAGCTGTTCAGCCCTGCTAAGTAAGCAAGGACACATCTGCACGCTGTTGGGCTTTTGGGCACCCAAACAATGTGTTTCAAAAAAAAATGTGGCACCTACTGTGTTTGAGGGGGATCATCTTTTTGTTAAGAGCTTATCATAACAAATGCACTCACTAATGTGCATATGATAAAAAGCAGGAAGGGTATACATAGAAATTATTGCTTTCCACAAATTGAAGAATAAGATTATCATGTTTATTCAGTAGGTTTTGCTAAATTCCTCATAATTCTATCCTTCCTTGATCCTCTGTTGTTGCAAAAAGCTGGCAGTTTACAAGATGACTCTGCTTTTCATTAGAGTATAGACAGAAGTATACTTCATGCCAAACAATGATAACATCAGTTGGGTATTATTTATTTCACCTAATTTCATATTTTTGGAAAGAAAGAAATAAAATGCAAATTCACTAACACTTGAGCGATTTAGAAATAGTGCAGATATTTTAAATGACAACAGTTCAAAACATCCAGACTGTATATTTCTAAATGAAACATCAATTGTTCTCAGTATGAGGCAGCTTTATTTTTTAAAAATGAAAACTTTAATGAAGTTTCTTTTTTGGTCTAGAATGATTTTTTTGAAATGTTTTATTGAAAATTCTCATTCCGAGATGAAAGACTTTCTTCAGGAGGAAAAAAAAAAAAAGGGGGGTGGGGGTGGAAGGAGATGGTGGAAGGAAACATGTAAATCTTTTCCAGTATCAGATTCAAAGCAATTGCAAATAGTGTATCCCAGTGTAGACCTTTTTCCAAAAAAGTTTGAATAATTTTAAGTACTGTACTCAGCTAATCAAGTAGGCAGAGGCTAAATAGCCAACTTAAAGACATGTAAACGTTGACATAGGACTGAAAAATGAAACTAATTGAAATAAATTCTAGGAACCTACATATATTAAAGCTTTTGCAGTTAAAATAAACACACACATATTCTGAAAAGAGATCTGAGTAAGGCCTAATGTGATATACATGTTGCTATCTATAGGTGAGTTTCATTATGTTTTATTGTGTAGCCTGACGTACTGTTGAGTCTCTACCATTTTTCATTCTTATGTATTATTATTTCATTAAGGTACTACAGCTATAAGGTCATAGCATCAAGTAAGTAAACAGGAGTGAAATAGGCAGAAGTATGTAGTGCTGCCTGCTGTCCTGTTCAATCATACATGTATTTCTCCTTTCAGCCAGTGGATAAAAATGCCATTTTAGAATCAGGTTGTCTGTTTAACTTAGACATTGCAATTTTTTCCTCTCTGTTAACTAAGCAGGATTTGGCAGTCTTGATTGCTAGGAAGTCTGAGTTGCTCATCACTCTGCTGAGCATAAATACAGTAATTGTGGCAATAAAATGAAACATTCTTGGTAGCGGGTTTGAATGTAGCTCATACTCTCTCAGCCTGGCATGTATGCTTCATTCATCAGGCACCACTACACCAAGTAATGGGATATAACTTGTGGCAGCTGTCCTAAAATTGAGCTCTGCTATATGGTGGAAATAAATCTGGTTAAATCTGTGTCCAGGCACTTTGAGTTGCATAGTCACTAAGTGACGTGCAAGGCAATTGTCCTCTGTTTATTCCTACCTCTCCAGCCAGTGGATCCAAAAGAGTAATACGAGGCATGGAGACTTTTGGCTGCTGGGATCCATATGCTGCCTTCCAAACGCACATCCTTCTGCAATATGTAGATACAGCTGAAGCTCTTGTGCCTATGCTTGCTTCTTGGTGAAGGCAGACAAGTCCTGAGAAGGGCTTTGGGCAACTTCCTTCCAGCTCTTGATTTGCATAGAGCGGACCTAAATAATATCTCTAGAATTTTCTTCTTTAGAAGAAATATAACTGATAAGGATTTGTATTTGTGGAGGCTGGACCTTATCTTAGTTGGACGATTAACTTTATTCTGGAATTGAGGAATCTGCATTTGGAATTAAACATGTAAATCTTTTCCAAAAGAACTTCTATTTTAGATAATCCTTTAGATTGTGCAACACATTGAAAATGTAAGTGGAATCACAGAAGGTCTTAAAATAGAGCAGTCTTAATAGAATATCAGTTAAGTGCAGTTCAAGTGTCAACTTTTTTGTAAACTGAGAATCTTTTATCACACTGCTGATAATTACAGTGAAAAATGACTGAACAGAATATTTACTTTATGGAGCCCTCTAGTGGGCGCTGTAAATTTGTTTTCCTAGCACTTTAATTTGAACTGAAATACATAGTCTTGATGCGACTCTACCCTTTTTGCATGTTCTGAATGCATTAAGAAAATTTTCATTTTAAGATGGAAAGCATAATCCCACATTATTAGCAAAAAGGTGTTATATATATAACACCTTTTATATATATATATATATATATTATTTTTTTTTTCTTTCACTCCTGTAACTTTATTGTGTTTAAGTATAGTGCTTTATTTATCACCCTGGAAATACAGGAGTTCTGGAGTAATAGGTCACCTTTTAGAACTCTGGCAGTTTTTCTTGTGTATTCTTTGCTGTGAAGGATCCCACTGCGGAACACAGGTGACATCATCTATGACCTATAGTGTTGTAACCAGATTTTCTAACATTTTTCTTTCAGGCTACCTTCAGGAAGCTTACCTGTGGACCAAGCAAGTGTTGGCAATCATGGAGAAGTCAGTGGTCCTGCTGCAGGAGGTCACAGATGGCTCCCTCTATGAAGGGGTGGCTTATGGCAGCTACACAACCAGATCGTTGTTTCAGTATATGTTTCTTGTCCAAAGGCACTTTGATATCAATCACTTCAGCCACCCCTGGCTCAAGCAGCACTTTGCATTTATGTACAGGACTGTCCTGCCAGGTAGGTCATTTGCACCAATGAAGATGGATCTTCTAATTCTCAAAGAAACTTCACATATCAAGTAGAGCATTTTTAATTTATTTCTGGTTTTCAGAGTTTGAAGATCAGATGTTTTGGGGATTTTCTACTTGAAAAATACCATTCTTTGAGATTACTGATTTTTTTTTTTTTTCCTTTCCCTAAAAGAAAAATGGTCACACTAAAATATTGGGTGAAAAGAGTAGAAAATCATAAAGCTGGGGTAAAAGTATCAAGGAAGTGTGGGGAAGTTTTACTCATTCCCGGATTTTCCATCAAATACTGAAATCCATTCATATAACCATTTTTTCAAAATATTTTTCATATGGAAAATGTAAATGACTTAACTAATAGGTTTTTCAGTACAGATCAGGGGTACATGAATCACTTTCTTTTGCCAATGTGAGTTAAAGAGAAATATCAGACATCACTGATGGGCCTGTTTTGCAGACTTCTTAGTATTTCTGTTTTCATGCTGAATCTCTCCAGTGTTTCAGGTTTGTTTCAGCATCTCTAGTATGAAATCCTAGTTGTGGCTAAAAAATGGAGATCTACAAATATGAAACCAGTTATAACCTAATAAACTCTGCCAACCACTTGTAGGTTTCAGAAGAGATTTAGTTTTGGGTAGCCTTGCAAGTTTCCAGTGATGGTTTTGTGTCGCTTCTTTGTAGGAGAGTTCATTAGGAACTTATATCGTTCAAAGTCCTTTTAAAAAAGAGTGGAATAATTTTACAGGATATTAGAAAGCCCAGATCTAGCTTTGTGTGTAAGAGGGGATGAGTGCAGCTTTGGCATGCTAGCACAGATGTGTAAGGAATTGCATTAAATCCATGTGATACCTTAGGCATTTGCTGGGGAGAGGTTCCAAAAAAAGCAAAGTGAACTCATTTTAGCTGTTTCAGGGTGAAACTGGTTTTTATTTGTTTTTCCTTGAGGGAGTCTCTCTTTTGTTGTTTGGAGAGTTTGGATTGACAAAGGAAAAGCAAAAACTGTAAAGAGAGTTATCTTTGCAAAATTTGAATGAGGAGGAAAAGTGGATGGGATGTTGCTTTAAAAAGCAATTTAAATTTTAAATGCTTTACATTTTTGTAGTACTTACTGTCTGTAGCTCATAGCCGAAGAAAGGTAACTATTTGAGTTATCTACAGCAGAAGGAAACAGCTCCTGTGTAACGTGTCTATGGCTCATTTATGAGTAGGTGTATGAACATATGAGAAGGCTGCTTCTGTTTGTGTTTTTACTGCTTGGTTTCATCATCATTTATTCTTTCTCACATTCCTTTTAATTTTTTCCCAAGGGTTTCAGAGAACTGTGGCCATTGCGGACTCCAACTACAACTGGTTCTATGGGCCAGAGAGCCAGCTGGTGTTTCTTGACAAATTTGTCATGCGCAACGGCAGCGGGAACTGGTTGGCAGAGCAGATCAGAAGGAACCGGGTAGTGGAGGGCCCAGGGACTCCATCCAAAGGGCAGAGGTGGTGCACTCTCCACACTGAATTTCTCTGGTATGAAAGGGGATGAGTGGGCTTGGAAGGGACCAGACAGCTGCTTGCCGTTTGTGATAAGCTGTTATCTTTAGATTTGCTTTGTAAAAGCAGAGATTGTGCTGGCCATGTGGAGCCCTGAGTTTTTAGGCTCACAAGAACTTCACTTGGCAAAGATATTCAGAATGCGTTGCTACAGGCAACACTTTTGTCTCATCCTATGTGCGCTTCCATATTTTCCTTCCATTGTCTGTTGTTTTATAGAACACATGCATTTCCAAAAGGACTGAAAATTTCTGAATATATTCTTTGGCTTGTTCAGTCTATTCTGATGATTAATCCTGTTGTGCTTTTTTTTTTTTTTTAATGATTAGGCAACTATATAAAGCATAGATTTCTTAAAAAAAAAAACAAAACTATAAGCAATATAAAAGATAATGACTGCTATTAATTGTATGTAATTTGCAAATTATATTTAGAAAAAATAACATGATAGATGACTGCACCTATATCTTCCTTGTAATTTACACCTCTGCTAACTGCAGTTAGTCTACAAAAGCTAAGAAATGAGAAGTTCCAAGATGTACGTATAAATTTACATATAAATTCCCTCAGTCTGTAGAAAGAAGAAATACATTTGAGGATTCAGTATAGCTGTATTTCTCTCTGTTACAAGAAAAGCATTATTAAATATATTGCTTCGTGTTTATGATACACACATTAAAATGCATGTTTACTAGGCTCCAAGCACCCTTTAGCTTGTTATTTGCAAAATGCAGAATCTTTCCTCTACAACCCCATTCACGCATTTTCTCTCCTGTTTCTCTGTGAAAACCTTGCAAATTTATAATTAATATACTTGAAATTTCTCTTTGATGCTGAAGGGAGGCATGTTTTTAAGTGCAAGTGAGTCAGAACAACAACAAGCTACGCATATCCCAACATCTGTCTTTTCCTTGTGCTGCAGTTTTGCTCCTTTGATGAGCACATCCACTTGCATTGGAGTCTTCAGAAAGAGGTTTGCTTTTAGGGGGATCTCCATCAAGGACCACTAGCTATAGAGTAAACTCCTGAGCTCTGCAGTTTGGGGGCTGATCAGAACTACGTGAAGCCATATGCAGCACATGAGCTAGGGTTGTCTAGGGCCTGACTGAGACTCCTGATTAGTTATAGAGAATACTTCGGATGAGGAACCATCTAACAGAAATATTACTATACTTAATGATGGTTTCATTTATTTTGGTTCAACAATACCAGAAGTTTGGGTTTTGTTTTCCTGCCTGTTGTCATTTTTCTTGCCTTTACTCATGTAAATCAAATTAAACAAAAATTATAAGTAATGTAATCTTTTCAGGAATTAAAACCTCTTTTTTAAAACAGACTTCTTATATCTTGAAATGTATACAAGAAAGCTGTAAAATTTTTCTTCAATATAGCAGGAGAAAGAAAATAGCATATACTAAGCAATATAAATCATAAAAATATATTTAAAAATATTTTTTATTAATTTTTAGTTTATTACTAATTCTGTTTGCTCATCAATTTTGAGGAAATGGGTTCTCTGTTTTTCTTGGTTAAGTAGTCAGCAGGTAGGTGCAATTGTTGCTGTCACATGCAAATAGTGCCTACAGCCTTTCTAATGTGATTTTTAAAATATTTCTATTGCAGTCAGTAGCTTTATGATATAAAATGTAACATGGCTTGTTTGAGGATAGTTCATGGTACTCTTATATTTGGACTGCAGAAGGATTGTTTGTTTTAAATGTAGAGCAGGTTCTTTCAGTTATTCTATAAAAAAAGATACAACATTCATTTGACTCTTACAAATTTGCATGGAGATTAGTATGGTAAATAGCATTATAACTATATGCTTATTTTGTTCAGGAAGGATATCTGTAGACTTCATATCGTTAGGTTGCTCCTTGATATAAGTATTGAATTGCATTTTGAGTTTTGTATGGGTACTGATGAAATCAGCAAGTGATTTTTAAACCCATTTTTCTCATCTTTTTGTCAGGTATGATGCAAGTTTGCGCTCTGTACCTCCACCAGACTTTGGAGTTCCAAAGCTGCATTACTTTGAGGACTGGGGAGTGGTAACCTATGGAAGTGCTTTGCCAGCTGAAATCAACAGGCCTTTCCTTTCCTTCAAGTCAGGAAAGCTGGGAGGACGTGCAATATATGATATCGTTCATAAGAACAAGTACAAAGAGTGGATCAAGGGATGGAGGAACTTTAATGCTGGTCATGAACACCCGGACCAGAACTCCTTTACTTTTGCTCCCAATGGTGTACCTTTCATAACAGAAGCTCTGTATGGGCCAAAATATACTTTTTTTAATAATGTGTTGATGTTTTCCCCTGCTGTGTCCAAGAGCTGCTTCTCCCCATGGGAAGGACAGATTACAGAGGACTGTTCTTCAAAGTGGCTTAAATATAAACATGACTTGGCTGGTGACTGTCAGGGACGAGTGGTTGCTGCCATGGAGAGAAGCGGGGTGGTTTTTATCAGGGGAGAAGGAGTGGGTGCATACAATCCTAAACTGAAGCTGAGAAAATTGCAAAGAAACCTCATACTTCTCCATCCTCAGCTTCTGTTGGTGGTTGACCAAATCCACCTAGAAGATGACAGCCCCCTGGTGGCAGCAACCAGTTTCTTCCACAATGTGGATGTGCCTTTTGAAGAAACTGTTGTTGATGAGGTCCATGGGGCATTTATTAGACACCGTGATGGGATATATAAGATGTACTGGATGGATGATACTGGCCACAGTGAGAAAGCTACCATTGCCTCAAGGATGTATCCCCGGGGCTACCCTTACAACGGAACGAACTATGTGAATGTAACAACCCTCTTGCGGCACCCAGTCACGAGAGCCATTTACCTGTTCATTGGGCCCTCCATCGACGTGCAGAGCTTCACGGTCCGCGGAGACTCTCGGCAGCTGGATGTTTTTGTCACCACCAGTGAGCACGCCTATGCAATTTACCTGTGGACTGCTGAGGAAGGGCCCCGTTCTGCCTTTGCACAGGTTATTGCAGACCGCCAGAAAATTGTCTTTGACCGTGCCTCTGCCATTAGGAGCTCTGCAGTGCAGGAAGTGAAGGACTACGTAGGGATTGTGGAGAGGAACCTGCAGCATTTTAAGCCAGTTTTCCAGCAGCTGGAGAAGCAGATACTGTCTCGTGTACAAAACACAGCTAGCTTTAGGAAGACTGCTGAGCGCCTGTTGAGGTTTTCAGATAAAAGACAGACAGAGGAGGCCATTGACAGAATATTTGCAATCTCACAGAGGCAGCAGCAGCAGCATAGCAGAGCAAAGAAAAATAGAAAGGTAGCCAAAGGCTACAAATTTGTTGATGCTGTTCCTGACATTTTTGCACAAATTGAGGTAAATGAAAGAAAAGTGCGTCAAAAGGCACAGACTCAAGCACAAAAAGAGTTGCCTGTAGATGAAGATGAGGAAATGAAAGATCTTTTGGATTTTGCAGATATCACTTATGTGAAGCACAAAACTGGAGTGTCAATCAAAGGCCGATCAGGGCTGGCACAGATGGTGACAACTGCTCGAAGTAGCGCCCCATCAATATCAGCCTCTTATACCCGCCTCTTTCTCATTCTCAACATTGCTATTTTTTTTGTCATGTTAGCAATGCAGCTCACATATTTTCAGAAGGCCAAAAGACTGCATGGCCAAAGATGTCTGTATGCAATACTTCTAGTAGACAGTTGTATATTATTGTGGCTGTATTCTTTCTGTTCTCAGTCACAATGTTAGAAGATCTCTATTAGTTGACCAGTTTATGGTCATATATGTCTATGCAAAAGCATTAACCCTAATAGGGCCAAGTTTATGTTCTTTTTTTTCTGAAACATTCCAAAAACAGCTGGGGAAAGATTGGTTTCAGACCAGAAAGGATTGACAAATAAGGCAGGCAATGAATTTCTCAGAAAACTAAGTACTTAATAAGTATTCCTCCTTTGAGTTTTGAGTTGGGCCTCACATCTGAGGGAATATTATGTTTTGTTCATCAGAGTTTGGTAATGTAAAGTTGTAATTCATTTTTGGTGAGAAGAGCTCTCTTAAATGATTTGTTTCTAAGGGCTTCCTTTTTATACAGAATTGGATTTGCATTTAGTGACTTTTCATTACAAGCTGCTATGGATGTCTGTGGACATGCTCTTAAGAAAAGGACATTTGAACACAAGTATGCAGGGCAGATCTTAGCAGTTGATTTCAATTCCCTCTGCCAGACCAAAGAATGCTTCAATGTGGGGCACTCCTGTATAATTATTTCAGACCTTTACATCGTGTCATCTCTTCCATGCTCTCTTCCATGCTTTACAATCTGGCATGATAGGAGATGGGAATCCTGTCAGTACTTACCAAGTGAGCAGCACAATGCTTAGTAGGCAGTAGCAGAAGGCAAATAAGGGGCTGGTTCAAAATATAAAGGAACACAATTCTCAGGAAAAAAAAAAAAAGCATTTTTTCTTTCAGTCAAGTTTAGACTGCAGAAAGATGAATGCTGTAGCGTCTGTCCTCAGTTTTACAAGGCAGGGTTTCACAAAAGTTTTCCATAGATTGTAGTGCATCTTAGCAGGGAAATAATATCCTATATCAGTGCTCTTCCATATGCAATTGGAAAAATGCAAAATAAATAAATAAATAAATAAATAAAATAAAATAAAAAACACAAAGCAATCCTGTGGTAACCTCAGCAATTGTCAGTATGGAAAAAAGGTATTAAGGAAGTACTTAATGTCTTTTTTCTGTTCACATGACTAGAAACAGAGGACAGTTAAAATTGTGTACACTCCACAGTAAAGCACCATCAAGAGTTCTGCAAGCTCTTGGTGGCCCCCTGGGACAATTATTTGGGGATTAGTGGTAAATGGAATCATGTGGTTTATGACAAAAATAAGTTTGACATCTCCACATATGTCCCCTTCTGTTAATTAAACTTAATTCAAAAAATCATAGCCGTTTGAGAGAAAGGCAACTCTATGGAATTGGGGCATATCTGTACATCTTTACAGAAAAACAATTTTTCCAGTACATTTGCTAAATAAAAACATTATAATTGTCTCTATGGAAAAGATGTTTTTATTTGATTAAAATACTTTTCCTGGTAATTGCAGTAAATACTTTGTTCGACCGTGAAACTTTATTTCATCTTCCTTACGCCTGCTTAAGTATCTATTATCTACATTGCTATTTTTAAACCTTCTGTGATTTTACGTATTGAAATGTGTTGAGCTTTTCTTGTCTAACATCTTCAGTGAATAGATCTGAATATTTTCATTAGGTTCCAAATATTGAGACAGTTCTGAGCACTGTATTCACATACAGAAGCCCTGCTACAGTCTCCAATGCCTTGATTTAGCCAACAAAATTTGATATTTAGTCTGGACAAAGATGTAGGACTCCAGTTAATTTCTGCTCTGTCTCTAGTCAGTGGAGAGAGCCTTTGGACTGCTAGTCTACCTAAGACCTGAAACACCAAGACACTTTTCCCTGCTAATTGAAAGAGGCATGTAAAATGGTTAATCACCTGTTTCAAATCACTCAGTTAATTGCTTAAGGTGAAGGAAGTTGAATTTGGGGAATGTCACTCCATATAGTTCCATGTTGGACAGGTTGGTAATTAGGAAAAATTTATTCTCAGAAAGAGTGGTCAGGCATTGAAATGGGTTGCCCGGGGAGGTGGTAGAGTCACCAGCCCTGGGGGTGTTTAAGGAAGGGTTGGACTGCTTAGGGACATAGTTTAGTGGGTGATGATGATGGTAGGAGGATGGTAGGACTAAATATCTGAGAGATCTTTTCCAAACATAATGATTCTATGTTTGTGGCAGTGCTACTTACAGGCAATGATGGAATGAAGGGAAATGAAAAGTCCATCCTCCTGAGTGGAAGACCAGGTCTGTTTCAGCATAAGTGGGAATCTAAGGGTTGTTCCAGCTTGTGCTTGGTTTGTACCTGATACATCTCTCTGAAAGATTTATGAGTTACCTGAATATGAATGTTATTGATTCAACTTACACAGATATGATTTTTAGTCAGATAGGGCAGGTAAGCTTTGCTTCAACCAGTGATGAAGCCCGTAATTGTCCTGTATATATTTCAGACATGAAAACAATCTCTTAGCTATTCCTTAAAAGTGTCTCTCCAATGGCCATGTAAGTTTTGTTTCCATTCTTCACTTCCATTCTTCTCCCTTTTTCTCTCATTCTGTAACAAAGATCATCATTTGTTGTAATGAAATTTGAAGCAAATGAAAGAACAGATGTTTCTATGATGTCAGAAACCAGGAACTTGGGCTGTGGGCTAGAAGTGTCTGTGTCACGGGCCAGGAAGAAACAATTCATGCCTTCATAGGGCGACATGCACTGAAAAATCTGCCTGTGCATTACCAGGAAGTGTAATGAGGAGGAGCCAGGCACATGGGATCAGCCCAGCCCTACTGTCTGGTGGGACTGTGGAGGAGGTGTCCTTAACAGGACTGTATGGTTGTCATTAAGGTTGGTGTCCTTAACACTTGCTAACATAAAAGAGGTTGCTGTCCTTGTATTTGTGTCCTTGGTCTGAAATATAAGACAGAAGCAATCACTGTGACCTCTATGTCCCTGGCAGAGGCACTTAGCGCAAGTTTCACATGGACTGGTTATAATGAACAACAAAATGTCATTGTATGGTATCCAGCAGCAAAGTTACCTCTTACTTTCTGTTTTAAATGGTGTCACACTACTGAAGTGTTTCCTGCACATGCCTCTGCTCCTATTGCTGGACTCCCTCTTTTTGATTTCTGAAAATGTTAATTTTCTGCATCTCTGATCACAGGAAAAATGGCTATTCTATAACCAGGTGTATGTAGAGGGATTCCTGTATTCTTAATGATTTCTCTCAATTTTTTCCCTTCTGATTTCTCTAAATTTTTTTCAATACCTGATGGTCTATCACATACATTTAAGGTTGTAGTCTAAATTATTCTGAAGTTAGTTCAATGGCAATTCAGCTCACCAGTAGCTGTGTATATGTTTGAGGGCAGAATCTGGTTCTTAGATTTTTAAGTGATTTATGAGATCAACTAAAAACTGAGTGTGTATGTTATATGCATCGTTGTGACCAAAGGAAACAAAGGGAATGGAGCACATTACCTCATTTCTTAAAACGTGTAAGATCAAAGTTGATGCTGAAGTATTATAGTCTGAAATGTATCAGATTGTTCTGTTGGCCACATTTTCTGTATTTTCCACTGATGAACAGTTTTTTCTTAGTGTTTGAAAGCAGGTAATATTTGGAAAATAGCTGTATTTCTTCTACACCAGGAGGCCATTACAATCACATTTATTGGGTCTGTAAAAATCTTAGTTGGAATCAAACTTACTTTTGTCTAACTTTAATCCCTTTCCTCTGTCTACTCCATTAAAATTCAGCAGGATAACTTTAAGCCAGTTAAGTCAGACTCGGATAATGAAGACAAGATTTTATTTTCAGTCCTTCCATGGTGGATGACTCCGGGAGTACTCTGCAGCAGGAGGCCCATGCAATCCACTGCAGGATATGTCCATACTGTCTTCAGTACACAGCCTGTTTTCTAAATGAGTTAAACCTTTAAATGAATAATGTCAAAGCACTTCAAAGAAAATAATAATAATAATAATTAATAATAATAAAAACAGCATCAGTTTTTCTCCTGATAATAACTAATAAAGATGAGTGATTAATTTAACTTTTTGTTTGCCTTGGTTACTACTGTAGTCAACAGAAAAACTAGTAACTTCATAAGAATTCACATTTTATCTTCAGTTTTCAATTAATCTGAACATGACTGCAGTAGCCATGAGATACTAAGCAGTACATGAATTCATATATACGGAGCTGTATCCTCTCTGCTTTAGTTCACTTCAACAAAAACAGCAAGAAAACAACAAATTATTCAGGCTTTGTGGTGGTGATGTGTGGTGGTTTTACTCAGGTGGGCAGCTGAGCTCCACCACAACTGCTCTCTCATTCCCCCTCTCCTCAAAGAGGAAGGGGGAGAAAATACAACACAAAGAACTCAAGGTCTGAGATGAGAAAGGTTTAATTATAGGGAAAGGGAATGGGGAGAAAAAGAAACAAAAGCAACAGTAAGTCTGTGCAGAAGCCCAGAGAGAGGGGAAAAAAAATTATTCTCTACTTCCCATCAACGAGTGATGTTTGGCCATGTTCTGGGAAGCAGGACCTCAAAAGGCGTAGTGGTTGTTCAGGAGGAACAGCCCCCTCCCCCACGAGAGCCCCCTTTTTTGTTGCTGAGTGTGACATCAGGTGTTATGGAATATCCCTTTGGTTGGTTTAGGTCAGCTGCCCTGGTGATGTCCCCTCCCCATCACTTGCCCACCCCTAGCCTGCTGGCTCTGGGGGGCTTGGAAGGAGTCCTGATGCTGTGCCAGCACTACGCAGCAATAGGCACAGCACTGGAGTGATATCAGTGCTGTTCCAGCTACGAGTGCAGAGCACAGCACTGTGTGGGTGCTGCAGGGAAAAGGTGACTCCAGCTCAGACAGACCCAACACAACCTCCACCCCTTATTCCATAACATTTGTGTCACAATCAGGTCCCACACAGTTTAGTATATAGATGCTCTCATCACCATTGTTCTCTGTCCACTGAAGTATTTATGTCTGTACTTCCTTTCATTCCATAGGTCTTTTCCCAAAATGTTCATAAAAACTGTTGATGGTTTCAGCTTCATATGTCAAAGTGGTCACTCAGGGCAGGTGAAGTTGGTTTTCTTGACACCAGCTTAGCTCACATCACTGTTGCACTTGCCTGGTTCCTTGCGAAGTTGACCTGTCATTGGTTCTGCAGTGTCCTCCTACAACACGTAACTTGGATTACAGATTAATTTTCTCCCAGTGTTAAAATCTCCTTGAGGCACACACTTGATATCCCCATCTTTCTGCATTACCCACCAGGTATACCCTGGTCCTTGGGCGAAGACAATCCCACGAGTGGGTTTGCCTTTCCCCATGGCAGGGGCAACCCACACCGCCTTCCCCATCCACTTTCCCACATGCACTACAGGGACTTTAGCTTCTCCCACAGTGTGTAGGGGTTTTGTTTCAGCAGGACCAGGACGGCTGTCAGATCCCCTGTTGTTAACTAGCCAAGTGGCCTCTGGTAGATTTATATCCCAATGTTTCCATGTTCTAGCACCCAATGCTCACAGCATAGTTTTTAACAGTCCGTTGTACCTCTCAACCTTCCCAGAGGCTTGTGGGTGATAAGGGATGTGATACACCCACTCAATGCCATGTCTCTTGGTCCAGGAAGTTTTGAGGCCAGCACGGTTTGGGGGCCAGCATGGTGTCCTGCAGGAACCTGGGCCCCATGTTCCCTTTGTTGCCTTTGGTCACAGTGATGCATATAACATACACACTCAATTTTTAGGAACATCCCCCTCCCCCACGAGAGCCCCCCTTTTTATTGCTGAGTGTGACATGATGTTATTGTGGTAATGGAATTAAACATCTAATTTCCACAGATTTGTTCTTACTCAAATGTCCAAAAGGCAGGGGGGAAAAAAAAGTCAGGAGAGATTTTGTTGTTATGCATATAACAATGGTCTCCCCAAGAATGCCTGCAGTGCTACTAAAGTTATTGTGGTAAAAGACAAATGGTGAGATCCTAACAGTCCACTTGGGTCTTGGTGGTGCTGTGAAAACTGTTTTTCTCATCTGTTCTCAGGTAAGGTTTAACTTTTTAAAGATAAATTATTTAAAATTCCATGTAAAATGAGTCGATGGGTTATATCTTTAGAAAAATATAATCATAGATCTTTTAGCAGGAATAGTCGTTAGGGTGACTTTACTCTTGGAAGTGGCTTGAATTCATAACTCTAAGAGAACATTTCTTGCTTTGAAAGATACTGCTTGAATGAAGGGCGAGTGATTAAGCAATGCCTGTTGGATAGCTAAATAGATATAAAACTGGCAGCTTTTTAGAATTTGAGTTACTGGCAGTTGGCATATCCAGAACAAGAAAGATGTACAAGCTCAATAGGAAATTTTTATCATCATCCTATACCATGGCTATTTGGTGCTAAGAATATTCTGTTTATTTGTCCTAATTCCTTGTGTCACTTGACCTGCAAGCAACTATGTTGCCTTCGATTCTTACCAAAACAAACACAAAGAGTATATGTGAATTTAAAGTGAACAACTTCAGCTCTTCCTTGGCAGTTAGTAGGAGCATAAACTTGTGCTCAACAGCTGATATACACAAAGGTGCCCTGGATTTTACCCTCTGCTTTAACTGTGACTCATGTAACTCATTCACCAGGCCAGCAAATTGGTTGATACTACAGCATTTAAAAGGATACTACAGTCTTCAAAGTTTTAAATACAGAATGTCTGATGTTTGAAAAGGGATGGGTGGATAACCATTTTAGGATTGTTTACTTTGGCTTAAAAACCATCAGAAAGCAAGCAGCCTTACTCTTCTAGCAACCTGAGCTGAAGAGTTTAACTAGCACAAATCAAATTCATTGCTTGCATTCGACAGCATGCTGTGGATAATATAACTGTTATGGATTTAATCTTTTAATCCTGTTGCTTCCATTCTACACAGTGCTGATCCTCATGATTAGTCTTAATCCATGGCAAAAAGAAACATAAATTCATGGTGTTTCTCCAACATTAACATACATTTGTTCTCTAGTTGAAAGGCATTCTGCAAGCAAAATTAGGAGGTGGAATGATTCTAAAATCACGAATGTAAAATGACTGGTTTTCTACTTTGTCTTCAGAGAGGTTGCAACACAGAAAGCTGGGAAAGCTGCTCTTACTCAGCAGCTTACTCTCATGCTGCTGTAACAGTAAGTTAAATGAAATCAGCCTGTTGCAAAGGAGAATAGTTGCTCAGCATATGCATCTCTTTTTCTCCCTAAAGAACAGGATCACTAGGAGTAGCTGAGCTCTTCAGGACATGCTAAGGAAGGCTAGGTCATTTTATGACCTAGCCAAGATGCTAAAGTAGTTGCAGTAGGCTTTAACTGGTAATTATGGTTTAGAACTAATTCACTTCTCTCGTGCTTGTCTTCTGTTATGTGGCCTAACCTTTTTCTTGGCCAAATAATGTAACTGTATTCCTGTTTTTATTAAGTTTGTTGGGTAGTGAAGGTGACTGTGACTGACCTATTGGTAGTGACTGGACACCTTTTCCCCACTCAGTAGTGAATGGTATGCAATAGTTTAGCCTTAAAATGCCATATATATTACTCTGCCTCAAGGGGCCAGGGCTCTGTAGGATACTCCTCCAACCTAGTTGCATGAGAATATGACTATAAAAGCAGAAGTGGTAAAGTGGTGAAAAACAGTCTTGTAAATCTCATGAAGTTTCCTCTGGTGGACCTAACCACAGGCTGTTAGCAATGGGAAAATGGACAGAGGAACAGAGTCCTTGAGAGGACAATTAAATAACGGTGGCTTTATATAAGGTACAGAAATACAGAAGGCATTCAGTAATTGCTATAAAATATTCACAGCTGCAAACACCTTGCACATAAAATGACAATGATGATGATGAAGTATTTCAGCATTGCAGAATAAATGAGGGCAGACTCAGAGACTTGCAAAGTTACTGCCAACATAAAATCTAGGCAGCTGGGAAGGTTCTCCCTTTATGTCTCATCTACCATATTTTCCTATTAATAAATAAATCTCTGCTAGCAACAATATTTTAGATTCTCTGAAGCGGCAGGACAGCCTGACAGAAGGACTAGCTGCTTATAACAGGGAAGTACTGAAAGTGCCCCCAAGTGCTGTTGAGTGCAATGGAGTTTGCCCTTTAATGCATGCCAGATATAGCTACCATACAGTCTGACTGAGCTGGTACATTTCTGGCAAGTGAAATTGTTTGAGTACTTTGAAGGTAAGACATGAGATCAGTTAGAAAAACTATAGTCTTCTAAACTTACAAAGAAGGAATGACAGCATCCTTTAACAGGAAGATCAAGTCTTCTCCTTAAGGATCTGGAGGTGGTGGCATTTCTCCGCATATTGTAAAGACCATCTGAGTCTGCCAAACACCTGTTTTATGCCTTGTGAAAGATATGTGGTGATTTCACAACCCCACAAATAAGGTAAAATGTGTCTTGTATTTCAAATGAATGTGAACCTACTGTGTCAGCCAAAAATAGCTATTTGACACTATTTCAATAATATTTGGGCTTAGATTTGTCAGAGAGACAGAATTTTTGTCATTTTCTTTTCTTTTTTTTTTTTTTTAGTTCTGTGTTGAATCCTCAAAATTGAAATAATTGAAAAATAAATTGTCTTCTAGAACAAGGGGAATTCAGTAGGTTTCTTCTTCTTCCTTTTTTTTTTTTTTTTTTTTTTTTTTTTCCATTTATATCTTTCTCACTTGATTGCACCCAGGGAAGCCTCTGAACCTACTGGCGTAACTACAATAGGTATGTGGGAAACTTTGAAAGGGATAGAGTCTCATCTCTTGCACTGCCTTTCTGTTAGAAAAAAATCTCTTTACCTAATACAATTTGGGTAGCAAAAGAGCCCAAAATGTGAAACTGAAGGCAAGGGAAATGGACATGCTACCATAAACTGAAGAACCATTAGTTAAATTGGATAAAATAGTTAATTAGTGCAAGTTTACAAAGAGGGAAAAGGATTAATTGAATGAAAAATTACAGATTTTTGTAATTTTAAGCATATAAAACATATTTTGTAG